CGCCGGCCCTAGCGGCCCCTTCCAATCCCCGGCTGGCGCAGGGCCCCGGGCAGGGCACCCCCCACCCCCGGCACTGCTCCCCCCGTCAACCAGACAGCGCGGCCCTTAATTGCCCCCGCGGGATTAATCAGCGGGGAACACGGGTTCGGTTCAGCTTCGCCATGTATTTGTGGTGAGAACAACGAGCACAATGCTTTTACAGTGGGTGGGAGGCACGGAGATACACGCGCGCAAGGTGGTTTGCCCCTTCGTACAGCGCCGCGTTGGCTTCGCCTCTGCAAAACGCTGGTCTCCTTCCTCGTACCCATTCCTGCCGCACTCCGGTGTCTCAGGTGGGCAGGAGCCCCCTTGCCTGAAGACGTACGGTTATTTGCGTCACAGTGATCCTTTTTCCTTTGTTTTTAAAATTTTTTTTGTGTAAGGATTTTTGAGGAATTACAGCTGTCACGATAATAAACACACATCACCTTGTACAATGGGAACGGCTGGAGAAACGATGGCGGCCGGGCAGCTCCGCGGGTGCAGCAGCGAGCGCGGCCCCAGCCTGGTTGCAAGCACAGCACACATCACGCGTCCCCGGGTGTTGCCTCCTTATCTCGCCTAAAGCGCCGTCTGCGTCGGCTCCATCTGAACGGAGTTGTGCTCCTCTGTGGTCACTGTGCCGTATGAAGTATCGGCCACCTCCTCTTCCTTCAGTTTCTTGTAGGAAATATCTGTGTCTTCCTCTTCACCGAGCGTATCTTGTTTGTAGCTGTCTCTCCCATACATCTTGTAGACCAGGACAAAGAGTCCCGCTTCTGCCGACTGAAAAAGCGCGTAAAGCAAGGGAAACATGTACATGCTCCCTATGAGCTCCGGAGGGAAGGTGAGTTTTAGGATGGCGGTGCAGAGCTGGACGTTTTGGCACCCTGTTTCCAAAGACACTGTTCTCCTGCAGTGTGGGGGCATTTTAAAGACCGTGGCTAAGCCGTATCCCAAGGCATACCCCGCTAGAGGCATCAGCACCGCAATGGCGTAGACAGACGCAGGAATATGTGCCAACAGATCTGGGCCCAGCATGGTCCCAGTCAGGATGAACAGGATCACCAGAGTCACCAAGAGGGACCACAGGGAAATCTGGCAACAGATACAGACATCGATAAACAACACGGGGGTTATTAGTTTAAAAGGATCATCGCAGCAGGTAGAGGCTTGATAGAGTCTAAATTGCAAACCGTGGCTGTGCTGCCCTTCCCGGGTTTGCTCCTGGCTCAGCACTTTGGCAGTGTTTGGTCATATCCCAGGAAAGGAAGGGGCTGAGATCGCCCTCCATCATTTTGCTGTGGGGTGACTTGCCAGGAAGGTAGAGAGCCAGGGCTTGTGCTTCGCTTTTCCTTTTGTAATTAAGCTAATTTGTTTGCATGTTTTAAGGAAGCGTCGCCGTGCCTGCGGGTTGGTTTTGCCAGCCCTGGGTGTAGCGGGAGCAGGGAGAGAGCAGGATGCCGGGGAATGCCCCTGCTCCGGGGCCCGGGCTGCCTCCCGGGGCTCAGCACCGCGCCGCCCTCCTTCCCGTGCGCTGGGGGGGAACCTGCCCTCGCCCTCGCCCTCGCTTTCCGTCTCTGTCCCACCGTTTTATTTCAAGACTATAAGTCCTTATATTGCGCCTAAATAGTGGCATATGCCTGTGTGAAGCTACCATCGGTTCGGAGGGACCAGAAAGGTTCCTGCCGTCGGACCCCCCCGCCCTGTCCTGGGGCCGTGCCTACCTTCACCAGGAGGTCGGCGGCGCGGGGGTGCCGGTAGCGGATGAGCACCCCCAGGCCGATGGGCAGCAGGGTGCTGCCCAGCGTCAGGCTCACCGCCCCCAGGGGCAGCAGCTGCACCAGGGCCGTGTTGATCCAGTGGCGGCTGTAGACCCAGAGGCAGAGGGGCATCAGGAAGAGGGCCAGCAGCGTGGAGGAGGCCGTCATGATGATGCTGCGCCGGGGGAACCAAAGAGACATCGGATCACCGCCCGGCCGGCCGGCGGACAGCCCCGGGGAGCCGCAGGCCCCCCCGCGGACGGGGGC